TTCTCAAACATTTGAGAAGTGTTTATTACAATTTTCAATTGATTTGAATTCTATTAATAATGAAGAGAAGGATGTTTGGGGTGATCAGTCAGAAATAAAAAGGCAAAAATAATTAATAATATTTATTTTAACATTTGCCGACGTTTTGACCTGAAGTTCAGGCCTTCATCAGGGCTAAGAAAAGAACCATATAACAAGATATGAGAAACATAAACAATGTAAGTAAAAAAAAATATTAAAGTAAAATGAAGTGGGTAGAATAATGACAAGAACAAAAACAACAAGAGCTAAGAAACGAATAATAATAACCATTACAAAGTGTGAAATAATGTTTAACGAAACGTCGGCAAATGTTAAAATAAATATTAATATTTATTTTTGCCTTTTTATTTCTGACTGATCACCCCGACCATCTTTCTCTTTATTATTTACGACAGTCAACCATCAATCCACAATTATTCTCTTAATATTATATTGTTCTGATACAGAGCCCTCACCGATGGGATGCTACAGTTAATTTTATTTATAATTTAATAACAATAATATTAATAATTTAAAACGTATTGGATCTGCATTCTCTTGTTATTGCTTTTCGGTAGAGGTCTGCATGCATTGTATGACCATGTACTCCATTTCGGCAGATAAATAACATTCCTAATTTGACAAATAGATGTAGTTTTCTTTTATCAATTGCAAGTATAGCTGTATTTATTGGAAGGCCTCCCTCCGTTTTTCCTAAGTTATTTCTAATAGAGTATAAGGTGTATGTATGCAGAATAGGAATAACTGTTTTGAAAGTGATTAAAACAGTTTTTACCGAATAGGAAGGATTGTCTTAATTACTTTCTTACTTAATTATATATTACTTAATTCCTATTCGGTAAAGTTCTGTGAACATTGTATCATCTTATAGTCCTAGTATGTATTTACTGAAAGGAAGCCTTCCAATGATTTTTTTTCCATGTCCAGTTAAATTAACTGTGCAAGTCGTGTTATACCTCATTATAATGTTCTTTAAACCCGTGATTCCGCTTGTTCGGATTTCCTCGAAGTTCGTGATCCATGGATTAAGCCCCACCCATTATCGACGAAATTCGTCCTTGAGACCCCGGTAGATCCAGATCGCCTGAGGGGCATTGCGTGACGTTGCCTTTGAAGAAGTTGCAATAGCGGAGTGCACTCAGTTCCTCTGACCTACTTGGGTAACTAGATTCAGTCCTTTGTTCAATATTGCCGTGCCGTAATCTCTTCTAATGGCCTCCTAAGAGCGACCAACAGGTGCTGCTATCTTCTGCCTTTTGATCTCATTCTCGTAAATTTAGTCTGATTTACGCCTTCGATAAACGATCTCTTACAAACAGTTCGGTCGGTTGTCCAAACTACTTTCACAAACATCATTTAATTCTTACAGTATCGTTTATTGATTTAAAAAAATTATCTTTCGGGCTTATGGTTACCAAATATATTTCTTTCATTCAATCAATAAAAGTATTAAATCGAAATGTATATCCCATTTTTGCTTAATTGCTGCCATATAACGCAAGAGTGTCCACAAGGGTGTTTCGTTTCGCAAGTTGCGCCATCACAATTTTTGAGATGATGAGGGGAGGGCACATTTCGACGGAGTAATGAATTTTCGGATTGTTAAGTTTCAAACAAGAAGAACAAGATGATACATGGAACAAAACTCAATCAACTGTAATTGTATATGATTTACAGTACTTTTATTTCTAATGTTTTTAAGAATAGGAAAACAATAAAATATTTTGGGAAGGGGAGGAGGAAGATTCATGCGCCATCGGGGGGTCACCCCTCTCAATACCATAAATATTTATCAATGGTTATAGTTAATTATTTTTTTTTCAGAAAAGGATTTCCATTTAGAGTTTAGTGAACTGTCGCACTTTGGGAATGTCTATGCACTGAAAGTCCATAGAAAACTCGATTGAGAAATATTTGACATCTAAATGCTATTGGTAGTTTTCATTAAAGTTTGAGTGTTTTTTAAAACTTTTGTCTTAAAAATATTGTATGAGAATTTTCGGAATGATTTTGGTGCCCAATTGGTTATTAGCGTACATAGGTAGGTAATAAGTTCGTTGCACCCAATACCAATCTATCATTCTAGGGACTAGAAAACTTCGGGGAAATCCCGTATCCTACCGAGAAATAACCATGCTATACATTTTGGTTCATTGAAGAGAAGTTGGTTGGGGTGAACAGTAAAAAAAAAAAAATATTAGAAATAAATTAATTATATTTATTTTTATTTTTGCCGACGTTTCGCCGACATTAAACAGATAATAATAACTTCTATTTTATCAACTGAAATATAAACTCTTCTCTCTTTAATAATATAACAGTAAGAGAGAGGAACTTATGAAATAAATAATAATGGGAAATTGTTGTGATAAATGAAGTTATATAACAAAAAGGATAACAAATTAATTAACAAAAAAACGTAATGGAATATTATGTGATAAAAATGTAAGAGTTAGACATACAATAAATGTGGTTACGTAGTTTCTAAAATATCATTTTCTTAGAATACTAAAAAGAAGTAAGATTGACAAAGAATAAAATGTAAAACAGAGAAAAAGAATATAAAGTTATTTGAAGAAAAAGATGTAAATAGACAAATTAGTGTACTGTAAAATCTATCAAAACATACTCACTATATAGAAACGATTTTTTTTATTACTACAATGGTTTGTCTACAAAAATAATGTATCGTTCTTTTCCAATTTCATTTAGCTATTTCTTACTTTATTGCTTGTAGCAGCTATTATGCAGTATTGTGATCTTATTGCTCATATGTTTTCTTTAATATATCTTTCTAGATATGTAGATACTTCTCTTATTACTTATGTTTTAGTTATTATTTTATTGTACAGGTATTTTTGCCAGATTTAATATTAATTTTTATAATCAATATTGTTATTCTTAAGGATTTTGTCCCAGAATAAAGTTGATTCTTCTATTATATTCTAAATTTATAAATTTCGGCAAAAATTATTTATTAATAAATATAATTTATTTATTTTTACTTTTTTTTTTTACTGATCACCCCAACCAGCTATTCTTCAATCTTTACTATAGTCAACCATCAATCCACTATTATTTTGGGTTCATTCTGCCATTCTGGATCTATTCTTTCTATTGTTAGAATGATGCTTCAATATGGTATATGGACATCTTCCAACCATCTCTACCTTTTCTATTGTCCATTTATTCGATGACTGTTTCACTCTATTATAACTATTACAAAATAAATAAAAGTAAATGTATTGAGTTTATATTTGCAATATAAATGCGTGATACCAGTTGAAAGGTTATTGGAACTGACCGAGACAGAGTTAAGTGTCGGAGAACTACGTTTGGCTCACGTCTTGTTCCTGCCTCTCTAGTGTTTCTTTATTTAAACACTAATCTTGTTTGTCATTTTCTATTTTATAATTACATCTTCTGTCGGTTTTGTTAATGTTACCAACCGATTCTTATTTGCTGCAGTTAATCCATTTAATTTTGATATTAATTTTTTATTACCCATGTATAAGCTCTTTATTATTTTTAAGTATGATAAAGTAAATAAGTAGATAAAATAAATAAATAAATAAAATAAGTAAGTATGATAAATAGAAATTTCATATTAGGAAATTTTAAAATTTATTTTTTAGTTAATAATAATAATGTTTTTTCATTATTATTACACAGTAAACTAAATATAAATCAGCTATTGATAATGAATGTATATGAAGATCCAAAGGTTTAGAAAATTTTAATAAGAAAGCAATTTTTTTAGTTTTTTTTTTTTTTTTTACTTGAAAATTAATACATTCTACCGCATTGGAGGGCATTAATATTAGGGCTACATTAAACATTCACACAATATATACATACAAATGATAAATAAAATAGAAATAAAAGAAAAAGAGTTGTGGAAAGTAAAATAAGAAAATTAACATACATAGGTAAAAAAAAAAATTGAGAGAAGCTAAATGTAATTGAAATATATAAAACACATTCACACCTATATACAATATCTTTTTTTTTTTTATTAAATAAAATAGTAAATTGTTTATTATAATCTAGTTATCTCTTTTAGTATACTGAATTAAAAATAGTTTCTTACCAGTTTTAAAATGTTTTCGAAAAAACTCTTATTATCAAATGATCATTGATTTAACTGATTAGGATTTGAACGTTGCATAAAAATGTTTTAAATATTAGAAGACGCAAGAAACATTATAAAATATTTTTTTCCATTATCAGTGACAATCCCACAATCAGTGTCTTATTCTTGTGGTATAGTAATAAAATTAGTGCTACTCTTTGCACTAGCCTATTCAGGATTTGATTTTGGATCTTCGCTCCCTAAAAATAATTAACTATATAAAATGATGTTTAAGAAGCCCAGGAAGGCATTTTTAAAAAAATAATAATAATTTAAAAAAAAAGATTACAACAAACTGTTTTTTTTTTATTATCATTGCATGATTTGAAGAACTTGAGACGTCATGCTTGTTATTTATTAACAGGCAGTTTATTCAGCATTTTTGGAGAGGAAGATAAAAAAAAAAAAAAAATCTTAGAATAATGTTCGAGTAACAGTAATTACGGGGAAAATAATACTTTTAGGAAGATTTTTTTTTTCTCTAACAGAAAAAAATATGAACGAATAAAAAAATTAAATAAATTCCAATTTTGGTGAGGTAGTGAACGTTCTGCCCGAATGCTCTATTCCACCGTGAATCCGTTAGTGCCTTCATGTGTAGGACCCCATAATTTACCCAAAATCTTTAAGCAATTTATTTAAATTTGTTTTTGACTGAATATTTATAGTTGTCTACTTAAAGGTTTTATTGTTCTCTTTATTTATTGGTTTTTACTACCTATTTATGTAAAGAGTTCGTATATTTCGTCCTAATTAATGTGATCGTTCATATGATCTTCAATAATTTACTGAAACTATCGATTTAAATTGCTAGAAACGATTCATCATGGTACACTTGGTAAAGTTGCGTTGTGCACAGTGTACTTACGCTTATTCGAATCTTCCAGAGCCTTCCGGATTCGGATTACCTCGTTTCCATCCACACCTTTCAAGCCGGTGTCTTCCGAACCAAACCGCCTTCGCCTTTGGTAAGAGGAACCTAGGACTGAGTGACGGCCAAATCAGTTGGCATCAGAGGTCCTTACCATTTCTAGGCACGGACCCACAACAGGTAAGGGGATTCGTATCTCATCTCCGATGGATCTCATGTCCCTTTTCTTATCCGTTTCGTCATTTCTTATGATGGACTGTAGTGTCTTAATCTGACCGAGACACCTGGAATACTATATCCTATTCTTCTTGTGTGGGTCATCAATGATAACGACGTTTGTCCAAAAAAAAAAAAAAAAAATCTATGATAACCATACAATTTATGTAATAAGTTAATACTATTCTGATTTAACTCAAGTTGTAAAAATTAAATTTTCATTCATTGGTATTAGAGTATGGATAGTGACAAACAACCCAAACTTAAATAAATTCGTGATAACCTTATTTGATGACTAACCTTCACTTTTGTTTTTCAATATGTTCACTTATTAATTTAACAAAACCACATTAAAAAAAAAATTGTATAAATAATATCAATCATTATTTTTTTAAAGAAAAAAACACAACAGTATTTTAATAAAAATTATATGAAAATAAATAGAATTTCAACTATTATTGCAATAACTATGGTAACAGTATATAAATGTGTCTAAAATCCAATATCTATTTGATGTTTTTTTTTTTTTTTGCCTCATAAATTAAACGTGTTCTGCATCATTATGTAAACTTGATTCATTTTCATTAAACATATTTAAGAAAGAAAATACACTTGAAAATGCTTCATTTTTATTTTAATTTTTTTTAAAAGTTAAGACCAGTTTTTCTTTTAAACGCACACACACACACACACACACACACAAAAAAAAAAAAAGATCAGTAGCATTGTATATTACACTAACCAAACTTTTATAAATGTCATATTTTGGTCTGGATAAAATCTGAATGTCAACAGAATAGTTAAATTACCTAACTGCGTGGCACTGGTCCCCTATTCCCGATGAATGCCGATCGTGCCCGAGTATTGATAATCTTGTTTACATCCCCGAAAGATTAACATGATTTACACGTGTTGTTTTGGCTAGGTTATGTTTTTTTCCTCGCTTTTCAAAGATAAATATTTTCTGCTATAAAATAGTAAATAAAATCGATTGTCTTCAACAAAAAAATGCTAAAATATGTAATTAAAAATAAATTAAAATTTTCATCCACACTGATAGATACGGAAGAAATACGTGTAGAGAATTACCTATTTAAAATAAAACTATTAAAATTACCTTTTATCTCTGATAGATACATAGAAATAGAAAATGGAGAAAATCCGTATGATGGTAAAATAGAATAGAATAGAAAAGAAACTTTATTTTGGGACGATGTCCCCTTAGAATAACAATAATGAACAGTTACAAAAGAAAAAATACATATCAGGCCAAAAACTAACTTAATAAAGAATCAAAGAATACATACAACAACTAAAACAATAGTATGTAAATGACTAAAAAATGAAATAAAATCTTCTCAACTATACTTATAATTGTATTTTAAACTAAATTAAAAAAAAAGTTACATGTATAGAAAGAAAAACCAAAACCTCTAGAAAAGAAAAAGTTCAAAAGTACTTAAATAAAAAGTATCGACTTTTTATGTTAAAACATAAACAGATTAAGCATACAAAATATATACCTAGTAAAGATATATTAATGACACAGTATAAGGAACGGGATTACAATATTACATTATCCCAGCATAAGAGATATACAATAAGAATAAATCGATACATACAATTAAGAATGGGCATTAAATTAATTTTATGATAAAACAATTGCGACAAAAGAAGAAAAAACAAAAAAAAATATATTAAATAAAACAAATTATTTATATACGTAATACACTACGCAATGATATTGTAAACTTTAAATAAACACGATAAAATATAGTACAGAGAATATTTTGATCGCTGCGATAAATGCGTCTTATTTATTGTCACTCGTAATTAATAATCCGATTATCAGATCGGAATCCTATAAATAATTTTTATTTAAATATTTTAAAAATCATTGTCGACTATTTAAAATTGAGCAAAAATTTCCCAATTAAAATGGCGACTGATTTATAATCAAGAATTGAGGATCGGTAATGTCCATCCCCTTTCGGACAAGTTCGGGTATTTTCGGGAATCAAGGAGTGGTTGTTCTGATTCATCTTGAAAACGGCCGCCATCTTGTGGCTTAATTTTTTTTTAATTTTTAAATAATGATATTTATGTTTTCGAAATATATTCTTCCATCCACTGCGAACTTTTAATAGAACATTTATTTATTTAATCCTAATAACATGATTATTATAATTTAAAAATAATACAGTAAGTCTTACAATGTTTTTATTTATTTATTTTATATATTTATTCATTTTTATTATCTTGTTTTATAATATAAATTTGTTTTGTATACATATATTTGTATATTGTATTCTGGAAGATTTTGTACACTTTTTATATGTGTATTTTTGAGTTAGTATAATGTGTATACTTTTTATATATGTATTTTTGAGTTAGTATAAATAAAATGGCAATTTTGTCAATGCCTGAAGTAAAGATCATGGTAGAGCGCTGACTTCGCCTTGACATATGTCATTTAGAAACCAGTGTGAACATGACATTTAATTCCAGGACTAGTGGCATATGCCATATACTTTATAATGTTGCTGACCATACCACCTCTCTTAATTATCTATATGTCTTTCTTCCCTAGGTAGGAGACGTGGTGGCCTCATGAGGCCCCTGAGTATGCGGGTCTCTTTCCTCCCCATCGTCTCGCTTTTGGCCCTTCACTTTATCACACCAATCGTCGGTAAGTAACATAATTATAATTTATAATAATAACATTAACAATAATATTTATATTATTATCAATGGTATTAATTTTAATTGTATTTGTTTATATCCATTCATCCTTACTATGGTTTCCTAATTGGGCATGAGTTTGTTTCATTATCTTCAAGTTATGGAATATCATTCCCGTTTTTTTATATTTGCTTTACAATCTTTTATGCTTAAATCAAATGTCTGTTTCTTGTATATTGAGTCGATATCCTCCTTTATAGGTATTTTATGTTTCATCTTTCCTCCGAAATCTTAAGTTTACTTTATTATTTTTTTTTTTTTACATTACTTTTTTTTTCTTTGGTATATAAAACATTATAACTATAAAACATTATTATTTCATTCCTTTTGCTACATGAATGCGTTTTAAGTTTTATTTTTTCTTAAAACTGATATTCTGAAATATAGGTGGTTATATTCTACAGAGTTTCTATTTGAATTAATAATTTGATTATTTTTAAAAGAAATTTTTATTATAATATGCACAACTAGATTTATAAAAACAAATATGAATTCAAACGCAGTTTTTCAATAACATGTACCGAGTAAAAGATTGCATTGCTTCGTTTTTATCAATTTTCAAAAATAAATAAAATTATAACAATTTATTTTCTTAATATTTCTTATAAATTTTTGCAAGGCTGATGGATTCAACCTCTTAATATTTTTTGGAATCATAAATATTTTTTTATAATCTATATATAGCTATTTAAAACTATACATTTCTTTGATATTTTCTATTTTTTAATATAATAAATAAATTAGTTTTTTTGTCGGATTAATTTTTTAAAACATGTTCCAGGTTATTATTTACTGGTTTAATTATTTTCAAATAGTATATGTGTATGTTTACGTGTAGCTAATTTCTGTGGGCTATAATCAAAAGTAACATTTTTATGCAAACAAAAAAATAAATATGCCATATAATGTACGGTAAAAAAATGGGAATATACTGCAAAATATCCTGTAATAAATCATAAAATATTAAGTGCATAAATGTCTATTTATAAATTAAATCAAATAATGTAAATTTTATTCTGGGACATTTAGTCCCCTCAGAATAACTATAATAAACAAGGAAATGATAATTTTCTCGCGATTATGAATAATTAAAGGATATATAAAAATAAATTAATTTAAAAAGTGGTGTAACATTAATATTAAAATGAAGAAACGACACTGTAGTAAATATATTATGTATATGTAAATATATGACTAATTTACTTAGCACTTTTGGAAAAAAATTAAACCTAATTTTATTGGTTTCTTCGAGATGTTTAATTTTATTATTTCTAACAAAAATGATAGATAATTGAATTATACCTCAAATAATTAGCTTTTTATTTGAATATACACAAAAAGTTCAAAATGCCATATATTTGCACCAAGTAAAAATATTTCAATACTTTTTATTATTTTTTTTAATGTTGGCTAGATTAATTGCTCAAACTGAAAATATTTTTTGGATTCATATTTTTTTTTATTTAAAAAAATACAGACTTAAACTCATTTAATTTCACGAAAGCCTGCTGGAGTTGTAAATACAGACTGGCTAGTGAGGGAGTTGGTTTGTGAAGCCCTACCCTTAACAAACCACAGGCTTTCCTATCTTATTTCAGTTACCACTTTATCCTAGGATAATCCTATATCGTCAATAGTCAATCTATCCGTCAGTCAATATATTTTATCACCATTTATTATATATCCCATATAGTTTAATTAATGTCTATAGGTTCGCATATCCGATATATTTGTAGAAACATATACAGGCGGGTACAGGCTAAAAAACTGAATAAAATATGGTCAATTTCATTGGCTATCATTCATTGAAGTGATAAAAATTGGAAAAATATATTTTTTTAAATTTATTAATAGAAATTTGTTCATGCATCTATGTTTATTATAAATACATCCCAGATCATAAGATAAAAAAAAATATTACGCATCTTGAGGTTTATTCTAACTTATTCGTAATAAATCACAAATTAATTAATATAGAATCAAAGCTTATTAAAAAAGGGAATTTGCCCATAGGTATCTGTAGCATACTTTGTAGGTGATAAAAAAAAAAACGATTAGTTAATGATATTTAAAAAAAACAGAACTTTATTTAGTTTATCCGCTGTAAAGCCCCTTTTAAATTGTGAAGTAATTGAAACCCCTTTTAAAACAAATTGTGAAGTAATTGATAATTACTATAATATTTTTTTTTGTTTCCTTCTTATTAAAAAAAAAAAAAAACGTGAAACTTATAACCAAAACACGAAACTTAAATTTTCTACGTTTTGGCGGAAAATAAGACCATGTTTTACATCGACTTCTGCTTCTCAATTTCTGATATCACGTCTTTGAATATTTCTCTTTATTTACGGAACACTCTGTGTATAAAAATTTTAATTGGAAGTAGTTCAAATAAATAAGGACATTAGAATGGTAATTTTTAAGTACACGATTGTTTTACCCTTCCAAAATACTTTTTACCTAACTATCGAGGCTATAGTTTTAGTTTTTAAGAAAACATCAATGGTTTTAACTCTATCGAATATTTTTTATTTTAGCTTAAAATGGATATTTTTTTTTAAAACTTATTTTTTGAAAAACATTACGATCTGTCTCAAAGGACATTTTAAATAGTGTTCAGAGATCACATTCACACTCTATGTACAATAAATAAAATAAATTATACAGAAAAATAATATATATACAATAAACAAGAATAAAATCACCTAAAAATAAATAAATAAAAAGAACACATACATACCTATATACATTAAAAATGGATATAAAAAAAAAAAAAATTCAAGTTTCATCCCTTTTTATCGTCTCCTCCAATTAAATACCATTTTTCTTGATTAATCAGATATAAAAACTATTTACTTCATTTAAAATTCTTTTCGAAATACGGTTTCTAATTTTGAACCATACTTTTTTTATCTGATAATCGTAATTATTATTATCTGATGGTCAGACAGAAATTTGCATTACTGTATCATGTATTATTTTTCGTATTAACGGATCATTTCGAAATATTATTTCTAATTTTGTTTTCTTTTTTTTCTTGTAGTTATTGTTATCTGGTTTTTATTATTTTATTATGATATAGAAATCTTTTTATTCATAACAAATTTTTTTTTTTATTATCTCTTGTATCGCAGTTTTATTTAGGAATGGAAATTCATTGAACGAAAAATATTGAAGAGAAGGATGGTTGGGCTGATCAGTCAAAAATAAATTACAATATTTATTTTAACATTTGCCGACGTTTCGGCCCGAAGTTCAGGCCTTCTTCAGGGCTGATCGAAGAGATTGCTTGAATACTCTATTCTCTATACTCCACTCCATTCAAGCAATCTCTTCGATCAGCCCTGATGAAGGCCTGAACTTCGGATCGAAACGTCGGCAAATGTTAAAATAAATATTATTATTTATTTTTGACTGATCACACCGACCATCTTTCTCTTCAATATAAATATTATATATAATTCAATTTATAAATATTATTTATTTTTGCCATTTTTGACTGAACACTCCAATCATCCTCCTTCATTATTCACGACAGTCAACCATCAAGCCACAATAACGGAAAATACTTTTTCTGAAGATAACGTTTTGATTTTTTTTTTTTTTCAAAGAAAATTAAAAATCATTGTCCTCTAATATTTTATCCCTTTTAAATGCCAACATGTGATAAATTTACAGGATTTTTTCGCTAATTTTATTAATCCAACCTTCCACTTGTATCCGGATAAAGTATAAATTATCGGAAGGAGTTTAAAATACTAATTGCTAAGTAGAGAAGAGAATAGGTATGCAGCCCTACGGATATAGCGGGCAGGGCAGTCAGTGTCTAGACAGGTCGCTCTGCCAAAACCCCGGGGACCGTCGACGCCTCTTCGGCGAATGTCCTCACCCATAGTACACCAGCCCTTATGGTATTTATTATATTTATTACCATATATTATTATATAAAATATATAGTAAAGTAATATATATAATAGTATCTAACGCTTATTTCATACATCCAGCAATCTTTAACAAATGGTCCTAGCGTTCAATTTAGGGTAAAATTCGATCAATACTAAAAAAATATAGTATATTGGTGCATAATGTAATAATTTTTTTTTTTTTTTAATTTGAATAGTTTGGTCTATAATTTTTTTTTGTATTTAATAAAAATTGATTTAATTTTTTTTTATTTATTTTTTTATTGTTTATTGAAAATATTACAATCTGTCTCGAAGGACATTTATAATAGTGTTCAGATATCACATTCACACCCTCTATGTACAATAATAATAATAATAATAATAATATATATACAATAAATAAGTATAAAATAATCTAAAAAATAAATAAATAAAAATAACACAAACCATACCTACATACACTTAATATGTAAAAAAAAATATTTTTCAGTATTTATTTTTTTCTTTGATGGACGAATATTTTTAAGATATTTTTTACTTTCCATTTTAACCAATGGGAATATGTTTATTTAGAATAAAATTAAACGAGCATCAAATAGTGAGCAAATTCGATTTTCTCTGGTCCAATAGAGTGGTTATTAATTTTATAAAAATATAAATAAAATTTTTGTCACGAGTCCATTATAATGTTTTTAAAAATTGTTTGTATCTGTTTTTATTAAGAAATAAAGTTCACTTTGCCACAATTAAAGGCAATATAAAAACTTTGTAAAAAATTTCCTTTGTGAAATCGGAATACTGTGCACATTGTGTGTTTGTTAATTAATAAATTAGTTCGAAATTCCCCAAAACATATTTGAAAGTTTACCTATATATAAAAAAAATGCATTTAGTGACTTATTGCAATAAACCGACAATAAATAAACAAACATCAATTAAAGTGAAAAATTGAAATTATTTTAGAAAATTAAATTATAATAATCATCACGTAGTGAAACATTAAAATAAAATATTCAATATTTTTCTATTTTGTTTGTAATATCTCAATAATTAATGTATATTATTTAATAATTATTTTCTGAAAACTATTATAATCCTGTTTTTTCACCGTAGGGCATGAATATGAGATCAATGAATGTTTCGAAACGCCACAAAAAATATATATATATAGAAATCTCTCTCTCTTTATCTCTGATATAATAATTACCAACCATTACTAATTAATAATATAATAATTAGTACTATATGTATTATTATAGTTACTATAGTATGTATAAATGCTATACATAAGTATATAACATAGCACCATAATATTGGGAAATATTAGGGTGGAAAAATGATACCGCTAGAGATTCGGATGTTTTGTCCTATTGTGGCTTGTTCGAGCACTTGAAAAGAACATCCTAGACCTAATTCGAATTCTACGCTTCCTCATCAAATATTCTTGGACCCCATTTGAGAACATCTCATAAAACCGACTCTCGGGTATTGAGGTGACCAATACAAACTTTATACAAGCCAACTGTTATTATCTCGACAAATGATTCTGTTCTGGTCTTATCCATTCCTAGGTACGTAGATCTTCGGTTTCATTTATGTCCAACAAGAAGTAAGAGTGGTGACTGGTACGCTGATGAATGATACGACCGTTGTCATTAGCAGGCAGGCTAAAGAGCCAAGGAACGCTGGCCTGTTCACATTTAGCAATGGGATGCAAATTATTCCTTACCTTATCGGCCGCCATATCCTCCATTTGGTTGTAGGTAATTAATTAGAGAGAGGAATTTTTAATACGAGCTCGGGGAGGGAGAGGGCTCGGGACAACATTATACCATAAAAAATCATTTATTATTCTAGCGGCGTTATATTCATTCTGAAGTGGATTGTTATTTAATGTATTAAGCATTAATGAGCTCATGTTATTAATTAGGCTGAGGTATTAATGAGATGAGGCTTTCTGTATAAATAGCTCTCGAGGATCGCGTACATTCACACAGCGCTGTTTCACCTTGACCAGTGCGTAAGCAGCTAGGTCATTTACAAACGACCACCTCCATTGAAATTATGTGTTTATATATATATATATATATATATTAATATATAATATATATATATATATATATATACACACACTCACACATATATATAGTTTTTTTCCTCTTGTGTATCAACCCTATGCAGGATGAGTTTATTTTCTATGTTTGAATACACTATGTAAAATGTCAGACACATTTTATCTATGCTATTAATTTTTTATTTAGTACAAAATTAAAAAATAAATAAATAAAAACTAAAACAACAAATAGTAAAACTAAAAGTTACAATACTTGCTCATAAATAATATTTTCATGACATATGTAAGGGACAGTAATTAATTTTTTAAAAATATTTTGAACAGTTAAAGTATTCTACAACATTTTAATTTGTATAAGAATTGAATTATAAAAATAATCGTCTGAATTAATTTACAATTTTAAAGAAATTTTATGTAATAAAATAAAATAAAGAAATAGACATGAAAAATATAATAAAGTAAATAAACTGCTTACATTTTTTCACACAAATTATAAATTTAAGCCGAACAAAAACAATGGTGAGTACATTAAAATGCAATCACGATAAAAATTGTTTAAGTAAAAGAGAAAGAAATGATTAAATATAAATAAAAATACTATATATATGTACAAAAACGTTTAACAAACGATGTTAATAAATCAAACTGAAATAATAACATTGTGAATAAATATAAATAAAATAACAAGAAATAGCAGACAATTCTTATATGTTTGTATGTACATTCGTATTTATGTATATGTTATATTTACATGGCGACAGTGGTAGCGTCATATTTACATGCTGATTATTGAAAAAAGTAAATTAATAAAAATTCTTAATTACTGTATATATATCATTTTTCTGTATAATTTATTTTATTTATTGTACATAGAGTGTGAATGTGATCTCCGAAAACTATTATAAATGTCCTTGAGACAGATAGTAATATTGTAAATAAGCTAAAAAAAATAAATAAAATAAGTCTACCAAAATTTTTTTCGACATTTATTTATTGAGTTATTACATTCTGTCGCATGCGAGGACATCGGTAATAGTTCTAAAGTTGCTCATTCACACTCTATGTACAATAAATAATAATAAATGAAACAGCAAAATAATAATAATTAGCAAATTATTTTTTTGTACTTAAAAAAATATTAAATTATGTAATTTATTTATTTGTAGATAATGTAATGAAATTATCTTTTCTTTTCTCCAATCAATCAACATCATTGGATTTAGATTATATAAAACTTGTATAATGTTTACAATACTATTATTGTATTCTTCGAACATACTAAGATACATATGTAAATCATTTAAAGTTAATATTTATCCACTCTTTTATTATTATTTTTTCATTAATACAATGGGATGACAACAAAAGTTATTTTTCGCTCATTTATAATTCCATAGCTTATTGTTTATAGCAACTATTTTGCAGTATTAGGACCTTATTGCTCATATTATGTCTTTACTATATCTGTACAGTTATGTAAATACTTTTTTTATCCCTTATTTTTAAGTGTTTTTTTTTTGCTTTATTTTTTTTATTGTAATATGCATTTTGGCTAGATGTAATGTTGATTTTATGTACAATATTGTTATTCTCAAGGGACTTTGTCCCAGAATAAAGTTGATTCTTCTATTCTATTCTATTCTAATTTTTATTTTTCTTGGAAAAATCGTGCAACGTAAAAACTTCGTATTGAATCAGTTTCAAGTTCAGAAATAATCAAAACAAGAATTTATAAAAAAAAAAAAAAAAATGTTCCGCTCGGTCAGTATTACAATCATTCGGATTAGATAAGGTGTGTTTGTTTGTTCTCTGGTATACACGTGGCAGTTTACGTGACGTTAGATATCAACAGCGCAACAGATAATCTCATCAATCACGCAAAACCTGATAGTGCGACAGGCCAGTTTACGCGATGACAGTGGTTGTGGTAGTTGCTGCCATAGATAGGGTAAATGGTATTCTGAGTACTGAGTACTTAGTACTTAGTATTTTACTCAAATACTTTTTTGAGTACTAAAGAATTTAATTGTTACTTCAGTTAAACGATTAACTGAAGTAGATATTGAATTATAGTTATTGAATTTGAGTAAAATACTTGGTGCTCGGTACTCAGGTAGCATTTGCAAAGGAGTGTTAATTTATTATTACGCGTTAATTTATTATTTAGTGTTAATTTATTATTACCTGAACGATTTTCGACCGTGTTAAAATGCATTTCTATTTGTATTGCATTGCTCAAAGGTAGTACGGCCATTAATGTAATTACGAGGCTTAAAAAGCTTCGTTCGTCAGTTACCATGGTTTCATGGTAACTCCTATCATACGATGAATCCTTGGATTATGGTTATGAATCCTCGGATTATGCTCCTTTCATAAAAAGATTATGCTCCTTTCATAAAGAGATTGCCTATGCTGAGCGAATCATTGCTGAGATAAGAGTGGCGGTACCCCCTGTTACAACCCTCAGTGCCCGATAACAGCAATCAAAATTTCATTTTATTGCGAATCTTTTGATCAAACTGGTTTTATTCCGGTCAGCGGAAAAGTTCGCCATCGGCTCGCACTTTGATATCTTTATCTTCCTTTCTATATCGGCCGACTCAATTTCCAGACTTCAGCCATCTACGCAGAAATAAAAGTCTAATTTTATTTGCAATGTCCTCTTGCGGTCAAATAAACGAGGGCACTCATTCCTCGACCGAGTCTTGCAGATTACGTTTTGACGAAACGGCTTTGGGTACCAAAGATAGGCAAATGCTATTCTCAATACCGAGTAACTAGTATTTTATTCAAATTGAATCAACATTGTGAACTCAATCACTACTTAATCATTTGACATCAACTGAAGTAGTAATTAAATTCTTTGGTACTAAAAAAAAGTCAGTTTTTTAGTGAAATACTACTCGGTACTCAAAATATCATTTGTCCATCTCTGATTTGGGATTATCCAAAGTTAACGATAAGTTTGAATAATTTGGGATACTCCAACCTTATACTCTTTCTGGTATGATTAGATACGAAATCTAATTTCGTGGATTTCAATTTCTAATTTTGAGGCATTGACTTCAAAACTGAATTTTTATATGCAAGCGAATCACGTAGAATTTTGTTTTATTCGAATTCTTCATGTCATGAAATGTAAAACCTTTTCTTAGTCGATCATAATGGTTCATTATTGAAAATTATAAACCAAAAATATATTGATAACACTATATAATTCTGTAATACTGCTCGGATTTCGATGTATTGTTTTGTTTCCCGATAGGAAATCACTAGCGGATCTAGGATTTAAATTTTTTTGGGGGGGGGGAGCTTTAGCCCGAAAGATTTTTTTTTCATATATACAACAATAATTAATTTGAAAAAAGAAAGAAAGAAATTAACTACCTACCTACATGAAATGGTGTTTTAAGTGATTCTCGAAGTCCTATTAAATGTAATTACACGAACAATAACACTTTAAGAGATAGTTTTTAATATTTGTTTCTATAAAACATGGTTATATTTTACCATTTTGGAGAGGGGGGAGCTTCATCCCAGAAGCCTCCCTCCCCCGTAGATCCGCCTGTACAAGAAATATAAATTATCTCTGAAGTATTTACTTATAAAAATCAACGAAAAGTGTGCAATTTTTTAGTTATTCGCAAATAAAATTCTTCACCTTTTTCCATCTTATTCCCGAGAAAGTATGTTACATACAAAAAATTATAAATTCCTTCGAGAGGGAGAAAGACTTTAAGCGAGTTTTATTAAAATCGTTACAGACGTTTCGGTGACGCAATCTAAAGAGACGTAGGTTTTTTGATCATCCTGAAACGAAAGGACAGAAGGTAATGTAAGTGTGGATCATTTGATGTTAAATCTCCAAAGAATCGGAAACAACATTTTATTATTTTTTTTTTTCGAATTCTACGTATCATGAAACTTACAACTTCAAATACTGGAAGGTTCAACGTTTTTTGTCGATTACATTGGTTCATTATTGAAAATAATTCATCATTCTATAAATGTTTCGGCTTGAATTAGGTTAAGAATTTAAGATGTTAATTAATGGCTATTAAAATAAAATACTAATTCTTCCTCATACCTCCCCTCACAAAAAAAAAAAAGTAAACCTCTTTCATCGATTCTGTTTTGAAAATATTAGGTGTCAGACGATATTATTAATATTTGAACATATTAAAAATATTTGAAGATTACAATATACATACAATAGGTAATATGAGACAATGCCTTCGATGACGTATGGTGGAACGGATGACAAAATGATTAAATTGTGGGCAGAGGTTGGGACGTTGGTGTTTGTGTGGGTGTGGGTGGACGACCTTGTATATCGACCTTGCCAAAACTTCATCCACCTCAATCATATTCAGTATTATTTTTAAATTTCAAAATATATTTGTCCAAATATAGATTAATAGGGAAAAAAATTAAATATAAATGTATATGTGAAGCTTATGCTATCAAAAGCGGACATTGCGAAGTAGGGATATAAAACTATTTTTTCCACTATTTGGAGATGTCATACCTGCTTGAAAACTAAATCTTTCCACTAAATGTTTGAAAAAAACATTTGTTATCAAGTACAACTTAGTGAGAGTAACAGACTTAATCGAAATCTCAGTTTTTAATCAAAGTGGAAAACTTGACTTTTGGTAGCAAACTCATCAAATATTGTTTTATTTGATA